ATTGTAGTACTTATAAAACTTCTTTGGTGAAAACCAACCGCCAGCCAATTCACCTGACAACAACCAGACATACTCAGGGCCAACCATACCCATTTTGTAAGCCTATTATAATAAAGAGAATAATAATATTTACATTTCCCTTTGATAAACCTAATGCAGGCAAGGATGATCGGCATTTTCCCCTCCACATTCAGAAATGGATTTGTCTTTTTTATTGGAAAACATTTGAAGCGCTCGAGCGCGTAGACGCGTATAGTCGCCTTGTCTATAGCAAATACAACCTGAGACGGAGATAATATTTTTTCTCCTGTACAATACGTTGCTGGTGTAAAATAATACTTGATTTATTTCTCGGTGCATAAAAGAGAAGTCACCTTGTCAAAAAGAGGAGTATTAAGTATCGTGTTTTAGACATTAATATGTGCAGGATACCTCTCTCAGATGTCCCTACAAGTTCAAAATAAATTAATAACAAAAATATTCGTTGTAAGCAAGAATAATGGGGTAGCAACAACGGAGCGAGACAAACCCCGAATGAAGCCTCTGACTCTTATCTAATCTTAATCTGACCCTAATCTCAATGGTTACCTTAGTCTGAACCTGACGGTCTTCCTTTAGTCCTATACCCCTGCGCGTACAGCCTCCCGGCCAATTTATGCCATTACCTTTATACCCAAAAATCGTGGCTATGGCTATTGGTTTCGCGTGCAAAATAGTCTATTGGATTGACTCAGATGATCATATCTGTTGGGTATCGCCCGTATTTCTTAATTGACAAATCCTGGCTCTTACCATTAAGAAAATGAGACGTGGCTGCATGAAATGTCGGCGGTGAAGTTAAAAATCAAAAACCCCAAATGGTAATAACCTTGCTTGTTTGCTAGTTTGTACGAGAAACAATATGGATTTCGTGAAGAACGATCAACTCAACATGCTTTAATTGATATAGTAAACCAAATACAACTGAATATGGACCAAAAAAGTACTCTTGTCAGTGATATATTTATTGACTTACAGAAAGTGTTTGATTCTGTAGATTATTCTATAATTTTGAAAAAGTTACATCATTACGGAGTGCTTGGGATTGTTAATAATTTGTTTCGCTCATATTTATCGAATCGTATACAAACCACACAAGTTGGTGATAAAGTATCCGACAAAGAATTAACAACGATAGGTGTACCACAGGGGTCTGTTTTAGGACCTTTGCTTTTCCTTATTTATGTTAATGATATCTATAATTCATATGACAAATTGCAATTTTACTTATTTGTGGATGATACGAATTTGATGTACGCTGATAAAGATCTAAAAACTTAATGCGGTACTACTTAAAGTGTGTAACATGTTAACTGCAAATAAACTACAGTATCGTTGAATATGAAAAAGACGCATTTTGTGATTTTTATCCTTATCAAAAGAAGATAAATTATGAGGTAGATTTGACGATATTTGACAACGATTCAAACTTTTTTATTTCTTTGGAACGTAAAAATTATGCAATATACTTGGGTCTGCTTGTTGACAGTAATCTTATATGGAAATACTATATTAGTCACGTTGCGTTAAAAATAAGTAAGACAGTTGGCATTATCTCCAAATTAAGGCATTTTGTATCTAGAAATACTTTGATAAATATTTATAACTCTCTTTTTCTTCCTCATATTTCCTATGGCATAGCAGTATGGGGTCAGGCTTCCAAAGTTGATCTTGATAAAATTTTAAAACTTCAAAAACGTGTTCTTCGGTTAATATACTTTGGGAATTATACATCCATGTAATTAATTTCTTTTTTTCTTCCAATATTTTACCTGTTGAGATGCTATACTTTAAATCTCTCTCTATTCTGATGCATTATGTACATAATAACTTGGCACCACTACATATATAAAATCTCCTTACTATACTCATGACATACATGACTATAGTACCCGCAGATTTTCTTGAAACGTTAACTTTTATGTGAAACATTCATGTTTAAATAAACGGAATAAGTATTTTTCCAGAACTGGCCCAAGAATATGGAACAGTATTCCATGTGATTTACGTAAATTTCCAATGAATAAATTTAAGAAAACATTACACAAAGTATTAGTTTCTATATTTACTAATGAGGAGGATTATGTTGATATCGCAACGTTAACGAAAAGTTGAAAATTTTTATTATTTCATTTTAAAGAACTTTTAAAATTATATGTTAATCTTCTTTACCGATTTTGCGTAACTTTATTATTTCTTGAAATATTTTGACTTAAAATCATTTGTTGTCCGCCATCTTGGATTAATTTTTATCTCATTATCGGTGATTTTAGTGACGTCATAAGCAGGGTTAGCCATATAAAACTACATCTAAATGACCAAATAACATTAAGTCTTGTTTGAAAAGTCGTCAGACAGTTTTTTATTTCAAATAGTTACTGAAGTATATGATTTTGGGCTCATAATAACTAATTGCTCTTTGGACAAAATTCTTGCGTGACCCTGCTTATGAGGTCACATCATAGATATAGGAGACCTAGATTGCTGACTCTAATGTTTTCTATAACGCACGAGCGTGACACTCATGAGCATTCAAAATGGCGGCTCAACAGGGCAAAAATCATATAGCGAGATAGGGAAAAAACATGTTTTTCGCAGTTTGCGTCGTCCTACAGCTTCCGATCCCGTTCTATCACTTTATTTTGGCAAGAACTAACTGGTGTGAGGGTTTTGGATGAATATTTGTACAATTTAAGTTTAATAAAGACGAAATAATCGATCGCTAAATGTTATCTGAAAATCATCACATAGTCGGTTGAGCAGTTCGAGACATTTTGTTACAGAAAATAAAGGTTTTGGTTCTTTGGGTGCTTTTTTCTCGAGGATCTCGGTTGGGATATATAACAGGGAATAATATTGTGAAGTATTTTGAAGTTGAAACCTATTTTACTTTATTTATTTGGTCTGCTGGTGCGAAAATTCTGATGCTCTGTTTAGTGTGACTTTGACAACCTCCTTGCTGCTGCAGATGTCAAGGGATCTCAAGTCTATATGGCCTGGACAGTGAAAAGTGATGAATCAATCAGGTTTTTAGAGAGGACTAGTGACAGCGAAAGTTTTCAATGGAAACTAGTTTGAAGAAACTGACTAATTTGTCTGGTATGCATCAAAAACCTTCACAGTATCTAGTTCTCTCCAAGAAACCTGATTGATTCATCATTGATAATCAAAAATAGATGGGACGGCATCTTCGTTTAGATATTTCTTGGATAAGTTGGATTGGCCTTTTATTGATTGCTCTCCACAATCAGCACTCTCCCCTTCAGGCACTCTCCCCTTGACGGCCTTGAGACAGCTGACTTAAGCATCAGCACTTTCCCTTGACGAGTAAAATTGTCTGGCGTAAGACAGAGTAAAATAATAAAATAGGGCACAAAACGACTCAATGGGTTAACTAGACACATGGGCAGATAACCCATTAAGTGCCACTGCTCTCCCCTTCATGAGTAAAATTGTCTGGCGTTAGACAGAGTAAAATAATAAAGTAGGGCGCATTGCAACTCGATGGGTTAATATAATCATCGGGTGTGAAGTGTTTCTCACACAAGACAGGGTTCGTATGGGTCCTAGAAAGTCATGGAATTTCAATATTCCAAAATCCAGGCCTGGAAATCCTGGAAAATCAAAATTACCTATTTCAATTTACCAGTCATAACAATAATATGAATTGCTGTAACAGTTATATAACAGATTTTTGCAAGAGCGAAGTGAATTTTGTTCTTTTACTATATCTGCTATTGTTGAAATATTAACGAATTTCAGAAATTCCAGACTTCCAGGTCATGCATTTTGAAAAAAATAGTCCTGGGAAGTCATGGAATTTTAAATCGGAGAAAGTGTGCGAACCCTGACAAGACTGGATATTTGATTGGCATCCAGTCTGCCCATTTCATTTTTTAGCAGGCTGGGATTGGTTATAGAAATCCAATAGTGCAAAGGGAAAGATGTATTTTTGGTTCACTGATGTGAACAAAAGTAAAACATTTTTGACCTTGAACAGGACAAGGACCTCTATGACAGTTGTTGTCAACATGCATATATATAGAGAGAGAGACTCCTAACACAGATTGACACAGACATAAAAACAAGTTGTTTGGTCTAATATTCTTTTATTAAAACTGTAAATAGTTTTATATTGTAGCTAGCAAACTCAAAACTACATTTATTGTGACGTTGTCATTACAGTATTTACAAAACAAATTGTTTTTATTCTATTAATATTAAACTATTCTGTTTATATGATGTAAGTTATAGACTTTATATAGTGTACAAATATATGATGTGTGTGTTTCATAGGCTTACTTATGGAAGGAAAAGCGAATACCATCTTTTAAATCCCCACGTCTGCCTTGCACTAATACGATGAACACGATTCAGGCCGACATTCAAGCATTCTTTTCGATAAAACCCCCCAGATATTTTAATAGAATAGAAAGCCCTAGAATTTTCAGATGAAAATACTGTATTTTGGTAGAAATAACAATGAAAGAACAAAGTAAACTGTAGTAGCTTTTGGAATAGTTAGATATATATCACATTACTTGAGAAAAACTCGTAAAAGACTGAAGGAATAAACAGGAAGAAACTAAAGACGAAAAGCGCGCGAAACTGCAGGCCTGCCCAATCTTGCCCGCTTGAATTGTAATTTGTAAATTGTATTAGTTGTAACAAATATTTATCCAAAACCTCCACGCCAGTTAGTTCTTGCCGAAATAAAGTGATAGGACGGGATCGGAAGCTGTAGGACGACGCAAAATGCAAAAAACATGGTTTTTCCCTATGTTGTTCTATGATTTTTGCCCTGTTGAGCCGCCATCTTGGATTTTCAAAATATGCCACGCCGGTTGAGCGGAGTCAGCAATCTAGGTCTCCTATATCTATGGGAAAAAAGTGTCGCCAAAAACATGGCGGATCTTACGCCATTTCCATGACAACACTTCCGAAATTTTCATGGTAATTGCCACTGACCAACCGCGATCCTAAGCTTTCGACGATGTCCTTAACCCCCCTGGTTTTTGGACAGAAATATTAAAGATATTTCAAGTTTTCTGTTGTTTTTGAGCTAAAAAATCTTAATATTTTCCTCCAACATTACTTGTTTTACAACGCTGAGCGAGGGTGCGGGTTTGCTTCGCTTGTGGATGCAGCATTTCACTACAAAGAAAGACTAATTCTTTCAGGTAAGATTCACGAAACTTTTATAACTTTCTAGAGTCACTAGACCCTTCGATTATGTTATGTCAAAAACTTATCCTAATATATACAGCAAATATTTCAATAGGGGACATAAAAGTATTGTTAACGACCAAACATTGTGTACATGAAATTATGTTGTTTTGTGTCAGCACTGGCCTTTGTGGTTTTATTGCCAGTTTTTAATTTATACTAAAAATTGTGGTTGTTTACATGTTCATATATTTTAAAACGTTTATTAAATATGGTGTGAAATTTATATACCTGCCCATCACAGTGCAGAATTAGTAGATATAGATAAGCACAAGACCAGAGAGAGTTGAGCCGTAGAGGAGGCTCACCTACATGTGACAATCCATGTGCCCTGTCCTGATGAGCCCTAAAGACTGTCTTTATTATTTTGTCTAATGCCAGACGATCTTAAGGGGATTGAGACTAAATGAGACTGCTCCCTGCTGTCACACAGTGGGTTAATTACACTATCGGCAAATAAACAGCCCCTGAGATATATAGTCAGCCCAATATTAAACTGCAATGAACCCTGGCTACCTTCTTATTTTACTCAATCTGTGAGATTAAATCCAGATGTTTTACTCATCAAGGGAAGAGTCTTAAAAATAGATATCATTTTGCACCATTGTCTGTTTAGAACTATGTAAAACTACTATATAGTTTTAGTGTAAAACTACTATATAGTTTTACACAGCTTGTTGGCAACAAAAATGTTGCTCACAAGCTACCGGAATTTAAGTGAGTTACTGATACACTAATCATGAAGTAAATTTGGAATGCTACGTACAACATTTCTAACAAGGGCAGATTTTCATTTATTTAAAAGGAAGGGTAGAAGAATTTCTGGTGGCCGGGTGCAAGCAGCACCACTCAGTGAGCTTTGGTGGGGTTGAACACTCTATTAGAGGGGTTTAACCCCCCTCCCCCAAGTAAAACCACCCATGATTTCTAACATTGGGAGTAGTGATGTCCAATTGGCCATGACACAGCCTGTGAGAAATTATGATGATGACATATTTTAGTTAGGAATGTAATTGCATTGCTGAATACTGAAACATGACATTTAATTTTGAAGCTCGGATCAATGGTCTTGGTAAAAACAGATCATGTAATTGCACCCTTGACTAGTAAATTGTCTGGTGTTAGGTAGATTAAAATAATACAGAAAGGCATATCAAGACACATTGCCACTTGTGAAGGGTTAACATATGTGTATATGATATTTTTGTGATGTATTAAAGATGTATAATGTATCATGATAATAATGTCATCTTTTATTTTGCAGAAATTATATGTTTAATGTACACAAGAGATGGCACTGAGGCATCTGAACATGCAGAAAAACATGCAGAACAACAAAATGAATTAGTTAATTATAACACCATGCATAACAACATAAATAATTATATGATTATGATAACTTTATTGAAGTGTAAATAAGTTTTATAGTGCTCAATTAAAATTATACATTTTTGTTTTTTAAATTGTTTACTGCTAATTATTTTTCAAAAAAGTCAAATACACCCTTCCGGAATGTATTTCACCTTGTCTATGGAGCCTCATTTTCATGTATGTGACATGAGTTGAAGTCCAATGTCTCAATCGTGAAAATGAGACTCTATAATAGCCAAGGTGACATAATTTCTGGAAGCATGTATTAACCCATCAAGCGCCAGCGCTCTCCCCTTGACAAGTAAAATCGTCTGGTGTTAATTACAGAGTAAAATACTAAAGTAGGGTGCAATGCCACTCGATGGGTTAACTAGACACATAGGCAGATAGGCCAGTTAACCCATTGCACCAGCACTCTCCTCTTGACGAGTAAAATTGTCTGGCGTTAGACAGAGTAAAATACTAAAGTAAGGTGCATCAGGGTGCAATGCCACTCAATGGGTTAAAATACAGTATGTTCAGTTTCCAAAGATATGCGTGGCTTGGTACTGTAACTTGCCATCCAGAAAGGAATGTGTCATTGTGAGATAAATCTGCAATAAACAAGAGTAGACTAATTATGTAGGTTGTACAAAAATCCACCAGTAACATAATTAGCATATATGAGCAAGGTAAACAAAAGAATGTGACCTAACTCCTTAGCTTAAACCAGGGGTATCAGAACTATGAGTGCACTTATGCACCTATCAATGTTAACCCCCAGAGGGAGGGGGGGGGGGGTTGGGCACATGTGGGGTATTTGATCATCAATTGTATCCCCACCCTGGGGATTTTGATTAGCACTTTGGCCCTGAGTTGGGGCAATTTGAACCGAATGACTTTTATTAACATAGTATTTCTTGCAATTTATTGCAAAATGGTGGGGCATATGACCAATATTTATTGCCCGATGGTAGGGCATTTGATTGCCCCACCTATGCCCGACCCCCCCCCCCTCCCTCTGGTGCTTAACATTGATAGGTGCATTATAAAGATACATTGCTCATTCAGAGTGATATTTCACTGAGAAAACTTGTAAGAAAACAGGCCATCCTGGAAAAGAGGTTTATGTCTGTTTATAAAACGAGACCTCAGGAGTCAACCTGTTAAACATTATTACACTAGACAGTTCACACTTTAAAGACCGTCGTAATCCTCGTATATGTGACTGAATATCGATCAAAGCTTCGTAGTTTGTATAAACCAAATATTTTGCGATTGTGAACCGTACAGCTTGCTAAAATTAGTAAAATAGTGGAACATTTTACACTTTACCATGTGTATTGCATAGGAAGTTTTTTTTATTAACAAATAGAGTGTCTGTTTCGTCGTTATGCTTATCATTTTCATGTCAAATAAGGTAAAGTCTATTAAAATATTAAAAAATTCAAATGAAAATTTGTCTCTTACCCTTTGTAAATCCACATTCAAGTCTCGTCTTTTCCCACATTTCTTGAGGTTTTAAATTTGTTTGTCGTCTTTCACGGGCGAGAATACCATGTACGACTTGCATATCTTTGTCCAGATAATCAAAGGTAGAAAATTTATATCGAAAAAAATTTAAAAACCGATTCAAAACCACGAGAACTATAATATCTGAAAATTTTTTTTGCAAAAACCAGGGGGTGAAAACGGCCGTGGGCTCAAAATTGAGCCTGGTCAGTGGTACCTACCATGAGAATTTCGGAAGTGTTGTCATGGAAATGGGGTGAAGGCTATTTCAGATCATTGAACTATAAATAAACTGGAAGGCTAACTGCTATGATAAAGGCCTATGATTTGATGAAGCCAAAATAGTTTTTCTGAGTTATGAGCAGAAATACTTGACCCCAAACGTCGGACTATATATCAAATTGAAGCTATTGAAAATTGCTATTCGGTGTGGAAATTTCAAGACTTCAGCGAAAAGAAAAATATTTAAAAAATACAAAAACAACTGCAAAACGGCAAATTATCGGTAATTATGTTTGTAGTTTTTCAATATTTCCCTTTTAGCTAAAGTCTTGAAATTTCTACACCAAATAGCGTTTTTCAATAGCTTCAATTTGATATATAGCCCAACGTTCAGTGTTGAGTATTTCTGCTCATAACTCAGAAAAACTAAAATGCACTGGCTTCAATTTCCCCCCCTGAGTTAGCCTTCCAGTTTATTTATAGTTCAATGTAGAGCACCTAGTCCCCAGGCCTTTACCAGCGCGGCCGCGAAATTCAATATGGCGCCAAGCTAAGGAGTGGAGTTTAAATGGAGCTAATATTCTATAATTTCTATTGTTGTTTTTTGATCTTTTTATTCTTTTTGGTTGGTAGAACTAATATTCTGAAATGCCAGGTATCTTACACTTTATCTGAAAAAAGATTTTATAACAGAATTTTTCTCAAACATAGTTAAAGTTAATGTATTAAAGTCTTATCTACTGAGTTGTTCATTTAACAATTAAATCAATTTAAACTATTTTACTCAAGTTGGCAAGCTACGATTAAATAATTACTTGGCTTGATGAAGATGATATTATTTAAGCAGGATAATACATGCCAATGTAGTCGTAATGCATTGACAGCATTCGAATAGGTTGATTATTAGCAGTTTTAAAAAGTTAAACTGCCAGACGTACGATATTTTATCATATAATTGATATAAATTATAAAAAGTAAAGTGCTATAACTGAATGATGGAACAATATTGCTTCCATTTTGACCACCACACTCACAATTACCTTATGAATGTGAGAATGCCATGTTCACATTGTGAAAAATATTATGATTCTGGCAAACATACCAATTAACATGGGCAAATTTGTTTAATTAAACAACATACACTGCAACAAATCATGATACAGACAAGCACATCCTGTATAAGAGGCTTGCTTAGATGTGTAACAAACATTATTCAACATCAAACAATTTAGTTATTGTCACATAAAAGAACACAGATTAATAGAGTAAAACCTTATATGAATATCATATCTGTAAAGAATTCACTACAGATATTCAAGTACTTCAGCAAGATATAAAAGAACACATAGTGGAGACAAACTTTATGATCAATCTCATGTTTGTCATTAACCAGGGATGGATCCAGCATGATCTGGTAAGGGGGGGGGGGGTGCTCTACCAGCTCTGGTGCCGAATTGTGTCGGTCATGTGTGCCGCCCACCCATCAACCTGCTTCACTACTGCAAAATCTTGCTTGACTACTGTATTTGAATTGTAATTGTTGTTCACAGTTCGCTTATCATCGTATCTTATTGTGCCTCTGATAATTTTTTGCTTTATCATGAAAAATAGCACACACCCCTCTGGCCAGGGCTAGGGGGGTGCACCCCCACCCCCAGTAAATCCATCCCTGTCATTAACAGTAGGGTGTAATTTGGACTAAGCCATCCCCTTTAATGTGTTTCTTCAGTTGGGAGAGGAGTTCTAAGGCCCTTCATAATTTTTGAAGATTACATTACATAATACAATATTAATTTTATTCATTGCAAACAGTAAGCTACAAATGAGCTTTGTATTCCATAGAATGCAAAGTATTTAACTATTTCTAGGTAAAGTTAGATTTTAAGTTGTTTTTAAGAAGTTAAAGCTGATCACATAATCAATCTATTTTTTGGGTCAAGGATATACCCTGCAAAAATAGCACTTTCCATTTATTTTACAACTTGAAATTCACATTCTGT